TTTAATTTTTTTTTAATACACATGTTAGTCATTTTTAAATTTAGTACATATGTATCATTTTTTTGCACAAAGATTTGTTCTATTGGGACACTTATACGTTGCTTAATTTAAAATTAATTTAAAAAAAATTCACAATTTTAATATTATAGCAATATTTCAAAATTTTTTTCTATGATTTATGTTTTACTGGGTATTTGTTAAAATAACAGATTAAAAAAAAGAACGATAAACTGTAGATACTGAATTTACCTCTAACAAAAAAAAAATAGTGTAACAAATCCCTGAACTTTAAATTTTCAATATAAAATTTTCATGATTTAGCAACGTGAAAATTTAAAAGTTAGATTTTAATTATGGTTATCTGTAGTAGAGGTACTAAAAAAGTACGCAATAATAAAAAAAAAAGACGGCAATGGTTTGTAAGAGAAAAACTAATGATCTTACACTATTTAGAAGAGGTTAAAAGTATAAGAGCAACTGCAAAAATGTTTGAACTTTAATTTAAACAAATACATGATTGGAGAAAAAAAAAAGATGCATTAATAGCAGCTGCACTATAGTTTCAAAAATTATACAATAGAAGACCATCTAGCTTTCCTGATCTTGAAACAGAATTGGCTTTGTGGGTTGAAGATCTTTGTAGTAAAGGAAATGCAGTTACATGTTGTATAGTTATTGAAAAAGCAAAAAAATTAGCAACACGACATGCCTATCAAATTCAATATTCAAATCTTGCCTTGTTTAAATTTTCAAACAAATGGTTAGATGGATTTATAGTTAGACAAGATCTTTCAACTTGCCGCAGAACTACAGTTTCACAGCACCTTCCTGAAAATGAGGCAGAAAAGCAACAAAATTTTTTAAACTATGTCTTATTTTGCCGAACTTAGTATAAATATTCTTTGCATTACATCGGCAATATGGATGAAACACTACTTTTATTTGATATCTCTTATAATACTACATTAGAAAAAACTGGCTCAAAAACTGTTAATATCTGTACTACAAACTATGAAAAGGCAAACTTTATAGTTATTTTAACTTGTATAGCTGATGGCACTAAGTTACCTGTGGTTATAATTTTCAAATTAAAAAATTTTCCAAAAAAAGAAGTATTTTTAATAGCCATTTATGTGCACAACAATGAAGCAGGCTGGTATAATGAAATCTAACTAGAAATTCTCAGTTTTTGTTAATATACGATGCTTTTAGAGGATATACAGTTACCCCTGTAAAAAATCAGCTCAAAGAAAAAAATACAAATATCACTATAATTCTAGTAGTTTGACCAAAAGATTGCAACCTCTTGATATATCTGTTAATCATAGTTTCAAAGCAAAGGTAAAGTATAATTACTATTGAATATAAAATTTAAGGTTTTGGTTTTTTAAGACTTTTAAGTAGATCTGGTTGGCCAGGTAACTTTTTTTTTTTTAAAAAAAAAATTAAAAATTACTTAGTTATTAAAAAAAATTTTTTTTAAAAAATTTTTCTAATTATAAGTAACATATTTCTATAATGTTTATTTATTGATAGTTATTTTATTTATTTATTCATTACAGTATAAAGAATTGTATACCAAATGGATGGAAAATACAGTTCATGAACTTACTAAAACTAAAAAATATAAATGCCCTTCATATGCATTAGTTATGGTATAGATAAAAGAAGCGTAGAATTATGTGAACCCAGAACTTATTAGAAGATCATTTTAGTGTTGTGGTATTTTTATTAGTACTGATGGTTCTGAAGATGATTTTTTGTTTGATTATGATAGAATGAAGCAATTGGAAGCTACCAGATATAAAGTAGATTATGAAATAGATGAAGAAGAAAATACAGTTGAAGAAAATACCTACCATACTGATGAGGAGCACATTAACTATTTGGTAGAACCTAAAGAAATCAAAATCAATAATTTAGAAGATACAAGTTCAAGTGAGGATGAAGAAGATAAAATAGATGAAATAAATAAGAAGAATGAAATTAGATAAGAAAAAGTTTTGCAGAATTTACAGTACTCAACAAAAGTTTCTCTGCACCTATATCTCTTCATAAAAAGGTGCTACAATCTTGAAAATTTCAGAAAAGTTAGTATATATACAGATTAGATTATGTATGTCATTTGAAAATTTTTTAATTACTAGAAATAAATTTAGATGAAAGCCAAAGTTGGGATATTTTTCGTTCAAAAAAATAATTGTATTTAAAAAAATTTTAATATATCGTTAAGGCTTAAAGCTAAAACTTTTAAAAATTAATAGATTAAACTTCAATTATTTCTGTATTAGTGACAAAAAATTTAACTCGATTTGATGAGATAATTATTGAGAAATTAATTTTTAAAGTTTTGAG